CTTTTATGGAATGCTTGTCACGTGCAAGAAAAGAAGCAGAAATGCTCTTTGAGGACTAGAAGATATGTGGGGGGCAACACTTGTGCAGAAGCAGTGTCATGCCCCAGGAGAGTGCAACAGACAAGGAGTGGGAGTAAGAGATCGGAGGAGGAAGAGATCAGCTCTGAATGGTGTCAGTGGAGAGATAGAACTAGGATTCCTTTTGAAGACTGGGTCAGTGTTTTGGGGACATCAGAGTTTGATGGAGAGGAGATTCAAGCAGAGGGAAATGGCATAAATAAAAACAGAAGGTAGAAAAGCCCAGAGCATATCTAGGAAACTGAGTCAGTGTAATTTAGCGGAGTGTAAGGGATACGAAACAGTATGGAGAGGCTGCTGGGGATGGAGAAGGGGGAGGGGGCTGGGTTGCAGACAGCCTTGAAGGCCTGTAATTTCTGATGAGATTCAAGTCCATGGCCAGTGAGGATTAGACACATGAGAAGAGGAAGCTTAGCCCAGAGAAGATTTGAGGGTAGGCACAACCCCTTTCCTTAGACATTGGAAGAGCTAGCTTGTAGAAGAGAGATTTGACTTGTTCTGTATCACTCCAGAAGGCAGAAGTAGCCAGATGGGTAGATTTCAGCTCAAGGTAGAAAGAACTTTTTAACCACTAGAATTGTTCTATGGTTTCAGCTGCATTGTAAAGTGGGGAGCTCTCTGTCAGTAGAGGTGTGCGTCCAGAAACTGACCATCACTTAGGGGGTTGTTGCAGAGGGGATTCAAGCTGTGACATTTGTGGGTTCAAACAACTCTGGAAGACTTATGATTCTATAATTTCTCCATATATTTCCTCTCCTGCCAATTTTCTAGGGCAGGAAGTTTAGGCAGTAAAATGTGATTATGAATTTCCCCAAATTCAAAGGGAAACATAGTCTTTTTGCCATTTTTGATGTCACATTATGTTATTTCCCCAATTACCATGCTATCAAACGTGTTGAGTGTGGTCAGACCCAGCTCAACTTGCACAATTACAGCAAAGCCATCTAAATACTTGTAATAGCTTCCTGAATCCCATCAGGGGATGAGGAAGGCTTGGAAAGAAGTTAGTCAGAAGCAAGGTCAAGCTGGGGGAATTTTGGATGAAGTCTAAAATCCTGAACTCAGAGGGATGGTGGGAGGAAATTATAGAGAAGGCCATGATTACTCACGTCACCGGGTCACTCCCTGGATGGGGCGTGATTCCCAAATGGGCATGAATGTGGGTGAGGAGTGGACAGAGAGTGTTTGGGAAATCAGAGTGATGAAAGCATTGTTTTTTTTTCTTTATTTTTTTAAAAGATTTTATTATTTATTTGAGAGAGAGAATGAGATAGAGAGAGAGCACGAGAGGGAAGAGGGTCAGAGGGAGAAGCAGACTCCCCACGGAGCAGGGAGCCCGATGCGGGACTCGATCCCGGGACTCCAGGATCATGACCTGAGCCGAAGGCAGTTGCTTAACCAACTGAGCCACCCAGGCACCCCGAGGACTACATCTTTAAACCTGGAACTTCCAGGAAGACTGCTTGGCAGGCCCATTTGGGGGTTGTGGAGGGTCTTTGAATACGGAAATGTGGCTTGATCAGAGTTGTGCTTTGTGGAACTGGCCATGTGGGTAGGGGGAGACTGGAGATCATCCAGAAGCCTGCTGAGAGATAATCACAGCCTATATAAGGGCAGTATAAGAAGTGCTAGATGCCTTTAACATTGTGAAGGCAGAGTCAGGGTTTTGGTAAATGATTGAGTTAAGGCCATGGGGTGAAGGGAGGAAGTCCAGAATGAGGCCAGGGCAAGTGACTGGGAGAATAGTAGTGATCATGACAGAAATTAACTGAATCTGGGCAGGACATGTGGTAACCCCAAAGCTCTCCTGATCCCCATTCCATCAGATGGTGAGGGAGTACCTCAGGAAAGCCTGCAACTGCTTAAAGTCCAGTGTTTCCCTTTGCGGGGGATGTTGGAGAAGACTTCTTGAATTTAAGGTTAATCTAAGGCAGTTAATCATTACTGGTAATTATGCCCTTAATAGTACAACATTAGGCTTAATAATTTATCAAGTGAGAGATGATAAATGAAAAGATAATGGGCCAGGACAGGCAGGCTACATGCAGAAGGGAATTCGACTAAAAGTGGACTGTTAGCCCTACCAAGCTTTGAGGAGAAAGAGGTGAATGTCTCTGGACAGCCTGCTTTCCTCCCAATTTCCCCTTCTTCTTTTTTAAATTTCAAGTAAAATTAAATACAGCGTTATATTAATTTTAGGTATACAATATAATGATTCAACAATTCTATACAACTCTCAGTGCTCATCAAGATAAGTGTATACTTAATCCCTTTTATCTATTTCACCCATCCCCTGAAACCTCCCCTCTGGCAATCAACAATTTGTTCTCTGTATTTAAGAGTGATTTTTTTGTCTCTTTTTTCTGTTTGTTTTGTTTTTTCTTAAATTCCACATATGAATGAAATCATATGATATTTGTCTTTCTCTGACTGACTTATTTTACTTGGTATTATACTCTCTAGGTCCATTCAAGTTGTTGCAAATGACAAGTTTTCATTCTTTTGTTATGGCAGAGTAATATTCCATTATATATATTTACCATATCTTCTTTATCCACTCATCTGTGGATCCATTTTCCTCTTAATAAATGGCACCCACCTACTCAAGTCCTGAATCTAGAGTTACTCTTGATTACTCTCTCCTTTATTTCCCACATCTGATCCGTCAAGGGTAATTCCTAGATTTAGGACTCCTGTCAACTTTATTTCTAAAATACTCTTCAATCTCTACACTTGCCTTTGTCTTGACTGTTACTACCAGAGACCAAGCCATTGTCCTCTAATGTAGATACAGCATTAGCTTCCCTTACAGTTTCTCTGTTTTCCCCCTTGCCCCAAGCACTACATTCACCATGTGCTTGAGAACAATCTTTAAAAGCAAATTAAGTCCTGTCCCTCCCCTGACTAAACACTGTAGTGGTGGGTTGCCGGGGTGGCTCAGTTGGTTGAGCATCTGACTCTTGATTTTGGCTTAGGTCACGATATCAGGGTTGTGAGATTGAACCCTGTGTCGGGCTCATGTGCTGGTCGTGGAGCCTGCTTAAGATTCTCTGTCTCCCTCTGCCTCCCCGCCCCCCACCCTCCCCAAAAAACCTCTAGTGGCTTCCCACACTTAGAATAAAATCCAAACCTTCTATCCTTGCCTGCTAGGACCTGTATGATGTATGCCTGCCCAGCTTCCCAGCCTCATCTCACAACACCCTCCTCCTTGCCTACCACACTCCAGCCACTCTGGCCTTTTTGCTTCTCAACTATGACTACTTTCTTTCTGATTTTGACATAGTGGACTTCTTTTATCACTTCAATCTTAACTTAGAGGTCATCCACACAGAGGGATCTCCTGACTCTCCAGTTGAAACTAGTTATTCTATCACATCCTCTCTACTCGTCATTCTCTGATCTCTCTTTTTAAAAAATGTATTTATGTTTCCTCTGTTAGAATATAAGCTTCTGAAGAGTAGGGATTTTGTCTGTGCTATTCACAGTGGAATCTCCAGGGTCTAGAAGAGTGCTTGATACATTGAGTCGATACTAAATTAATATTCATTGAGTGAATTAATGAATGCAATTTTATACCATTATCTTATCATTCCAGACACCTTCTGGCCTGGCCTTCAGGGAACTCCTTCTCTGACTTAACTATTTGGTACTAAGCATCCATTGCCTTATATTGGGGATAGGGGCTGATATAGTTAGGACAGTTTCTTGGAGTAATCTGTCTTTTGGGAAATAGCATTCTGTGTTTTGTTCCAGATTTGTTCCATCTTAGGGATATTCGACAAATAACTACCAGCCTTCCCCCATTGCTCAGCAAGAATGGGGATAATTATATCAGTTTGGTACATTTCAAATGGTGCTATGCCTCTCCTCCTGGGTACAGAAGGACTCTAGAAATTTCTAGAGTTCTCTTGGACTTCAGATACAGTTGAGTTGATGGCACAGTATCATGATTAGTTAGTGCAAGATCCCTCTCTTGTTTTACCTGATGTTTTCTCCTTCATCTCCCATTCACGGTCTCATTCTCCTTTTTCCTTCCAGGCTTCCAATCTTGGGTTTTTAATATATATCCTTCCAATCTGTCTTCTAACCTATCTATTTAGATATATGTATATCCTTGAAAAATGCAGTGTATGTGTCCATGGAGTCTAGGAAACCTTTGTAAAAAATAAAAAATAAAAATACTATATTGATTTAGAGAGTTATTATTAGTAGCATCTCGTGTTACTTGGGAGCACATGGGATCATAGAATTTTTTAAAATTTTTTATTTAGATTCAATTAACATATAATGTATTATTGGTTTCAGAGGCAGAGGTCAGTGATTCATCAGTCTTATAAATATCCAGTGGGAATCATAGGATTTAATAGTTAGGAATCATCTGTAAATTATAGGCTCTAATCCCTGCCTTCTCTGATAAGTGAGAGGACTAAGGCCCAGAGACTTCCTTTAAATGATTCCTTTTATCAAAACTGTCCACATTTACTGGGAGCCAGTCTTGGTCAACATTTACTGAGAGCCAGTCCTTTGTCAGGAGTGTTGGAGGACAGAGATGAATGGCACAGGGCCTGCTTCTGAGCGGACAGCCTTTTAGAAGACTTATAAGGAAGGCTTGGTGGGCTGTGGGGTTTCCCATGTCTTCTTTGTTATTGGCCATTGAGCTGAGAAAGGACCCAAAGATGATCTGCTTTGGGGATACACACTGCCTCTTCCCCAGTCTTCTCCTTTTCATCTTCACTATTACCTAAGACCCCACATCCACCTTGTGAATCAGTGATCCCTACAGACATTCAGTCAGGTTCCCAGCCTGCCTCTGCTCTTTCTTGTCCCTCTTGTGGGTGACATGCCTCTTCCCTGTTTGGTCTACCTCTGAGTGTCCTGGTGGAACATAGAGTCCTTACCAGACTTTCCCTTTGTGTTTCCAGATTGGAGCATCTCTCTTTGCCAGTAACATTGGAAGTGGCCACTTTGTGGGGCTGGCGGGGACAGGAGCTGCTACAGGCATCGCCATGGGAGGCTTTGAATGGAATGTGAGTTACATCAGAGACACTGTGTCCTGGAGCTGGAAGGACGTTTAGCAGTCATCCAGTTTAATCTATGCTTAGAGATGCTCTAAGTGTTAGGGAACCAACCAGGGCCACTATCTGAGGCAGTTGGAGGAGGGGCACAGCGTCAGGAGCTCCATGGTCCTGCTCCCCTCCACAGAGTAGCATGAGAAAACCACTGATATGATGACAATAGTGTTTTTTTCTTCTCTTAAAAATCCAAATCCTCCTATACCCTTTTGGCCATATTGGAGGTTTGGAAATTCTTACCACCAGATTTCCATTATCATCATTATTATTATTTAAAAGTTCTAAGTGGTATTTTACTCCTTGTAAACCAGAGAAGAGGCAAAAGGAGCTATGATGTCAGAAGACAGTCCCCTGGGGTCCCCTACACTATTGCCCAACTACCATTCCTGTGGGCCGATTGGGCAGCAAAGCCCTCTTTCAGTTTCTGAAGGCCACTTAGGGATTGTCCCCAGAGCCCCAAGAGAAAATGCTTGGTGATTTTCCTGTAGTATTTGAGGGCAGGCAGCAGAACCAGGGTTCCTACTGGTTTGACTCTACCTATTTTTTTGTTTGTTTCAGGCCCTGATTTGGGTGGTTGTCTTGGGCTGGGTATTTGTTCCCATTTACATTAAGGCTGGGGTAAGTATCTGCTCTGTTATTCTATTTTGTGCTATATATATACACATACATATATATATATATACACACTATATAGACACATATATATAATATATAATACACATTATATATGATACACATATCATATATATATATAATATATATGTATAATACACACACATATTTAATATGAGCTCCATCCTCCTAAAGGACAGAGGAGACTTTATAGCATAAATGGCAGAGAACACCTGTGGCTTGGTTTTCTTTTCCAGGTTATAAAATTTTTGACTACTTTTAGAGGCATTCAACAGATCCACTCAGCCATGACTTGACAGTCTAAGAGACCCTCTAAACAACCTCATTCTATTCAGAGCCCTCTTAAGCATCGTGTCCCCTCACATTGGGTGTGCACTTGCAAGGCACTGCCATGCATTTGCTCATGGTATATAGCTGTGTGCCTCTGCTCCTGGAAGGGAAGCAGCATGAGAAAAAGAACTGTATTTCCCCTTCATTTGCATATGTCAGTAGCTCTTGCAGCTGGTACTCAACTATCGAATGCATGCTCAGTCTCTTGACTAAATCTCTCTGACATTTTACATAAGACAGCTTTGGTGGCACCTGTTTAGTGAGATATAATGAATACCTACATTAGGAGCTGAAAGCAATACAGAAAAAACACAGGGCAGACTCTACATCTTCTGGAGGCTCATGGACTATTGGTGACATGTGTGTGATCCCAGAAGACAGTAGACTCAGGGTTGAGAGAATGTGACAGAAGTACAGTCAGAATTTGCAGAAAGGAACTGGGAGAACAGTTGAGCAGGTCTGCAGCTACAATCCTTGGCAAGGTGAAGCACACACCCAGCCTGGCCAATTTGGTGCACTGAACAGATGCTACCATTGGTATGATGTCTTGTTCACAGTAGGCACTGTGTATAGGAATGCATATCTATCACCTCCTCTTTCAGGGCAAAAATCTGCTTTCTTGGTTATGTATTCATGTGTTCACTTAAGAAAGTGTCTATTGAGCACCTTCAGTGTCCTGGGATAATGCCCTACCACTGCAAGGGTAGGGCATATGGGATTGAGATGGGATTGAAGAATGGGGGCCATCTGGCTACCTTACAGACTTCTCTGACCCATGAGGGTTAACCCTTGATCATACTTCTGATGCCATGGTGGATGCCACTGCTCTGTTTGCTCTGAGTCTTCTGGTCATTTTGGCTGGCAATGACCTCTCTTACATTCCATGCAGGTGGTGACAATGCCAGAGTACCTGAGGAAACGATTTGGAGGCAAGCGGATCCAGATCTACCTCTCTATTCTGTCCCTGTTACTCTACATTTTAACCAAGATCTCGGTGAGTCCACTGCCCTGGGGACTGGCATTAGCTGTCTACTGACCAATGTCTACCTGCCCACTCCTGCTCCTCAGCACGTATTGGCCCACCAAGGGGCAGCAGTATTTGTTTCTATTAACTTGGTGCCTTAGGTCTTCTTGCTCCTTAGGGTAAAGTCCTATTTCATGCATCAAGGAGTCAATACATGGAACTCCTTACCCTCTACCACGTGGAAGCTTAAAAGCATAAACATGTTCAAGGAGTTTCAGTGAAAACTGTTCTTAATAGAAGACTGAAAGGGAATTAGCAATATCTGAGGGCTGGTTCCAATCTTAGAGTTTGCTGTGAGCCTCTGTGCCTGAAGGGATCAGAATCTGGCTCTAGGTGATGTTTCTAATACACTTAGACATGGGCAGTCAGTGACAACTCTTGAAGGGACCTCAGAAATTCTCCCTCTTCTTTTATGGACAGGGAAATGAAAACTGGGAATTGAAAATACTTGCTCAGGATCCTGAATCAGGAGTAGAACCCAAACTTCTGGCTCCACTTCAATGTCCTTTTCATTACACAAGGCTTCTTGTCTGTTATTATTTTTTAATCTGTTTTTTTTTTTTCTGATGTTGCTCATGCTTTTTGTGTCATTTCTAAGAATCCATTGCCAAATCCAAGGGTTGAGAGAAAAGTGACATTTTCTGAGACATAGGGAGTTACAAAGTGCTCACTGCTCTACCAGTTTTCTCATTGAGTATGATCAGTTTTCCTCTGTTTTCTTGTCCTTCTCTATCCAGCACCAAAGGTAAGATTGGATCAATCTCAGCATCTTGCAAAAGATCTGTCCTGGATGAAATCTGAGTCAGGTTGGATCTGAAATGAGCCTTCTGCTCTAGCTAGGTAGTGTGCTGAAAAAACAGCTGCTAGTGCTTTTATTTTCCTGATCACTTAAAGTCAAGACAACAACAATATTAAATAACATTTGCATTTTTTTTATTTTGGAAAATTTCGAACATGTATACCCAGAGATAGAATAGTATAATGAACACTTGTGGACCTAATACTTTTCACTCAGCTTTAATAATGATTATCATTTTGTCATTCTTGTTCATCTATTTCTTCTACTTTTTTTCCCAGCAGTATTTTAAGTCAAATACCAGACATTATGTCATTTCGCTGTGACTTCTTCAGAATACATCTTCAACTTTTAAAAAACATAACCATTGTGCTATTATCACACAGCAAAATCTATAGGAATTTCCTAATTTAGGTGGTTTAATACCTGGTACATATCTAGATTTTCCTGATTATATAAAAAAAGTCTCCTTATATTTGATTTTTTTGAATCAGAATCTAAATGAAGTCTACACATTGTATTTGACTATACTTTCTTTAAAGGAAATATCTATATCTTCAGCTTACCATAATTATTTTTCTCTTTTGTACCATTACCTCCCAGCCCTAGTCCTGGCATACCTGCACATACTTTTCTTTTTTTTTTTTTTAATTGGATTGTTTGTCTTTTTTTGTTGTTAAGTTGAAAGAATTCTTTATATGTTCTGGGTACTAGACCCTTATCAGATAAAGGATTTACAAATATTTCTCCCTCATTCTGTAGGTTTTCTTTTTCATTTTCTTGATAATGTCCTTTGAGGCACAAAAGTTTTAAATCTTGATGAAGTCCATTTATCGACTTTTATTTCTGTTGCTTATGCTTTTGCTGTCATTTCTAGGAATCCATTGCCAAATCCAAGATCATGAAGATTGACCCCTATATTTTCTCTGAAGAGTTTTATACTTTTAGCTCTTACATTTAGTTCTTTAATCCATTTTGAGTTAATTTTTGTATATAATGTGAGGCAGGGGTTCAACTTCACTCTTTTGCATGTGTTTATCCAGTTCTTTTAGCACCATTTGTTGAAGAGACTATTATTTCCTCATTGAATGGTCTTGCACATTTTTATACAACTCAATGTAAACATGCTCTTGCCTATAGGGCTGATAGAACTTTGCCTTGGAGTTGGGACTGATTCCCAGAGCACTGCTCTCTCCCTGCGCAGCTTCCTGACTCAAACTGCTACTGTCCTTGACTGGTGCTTTTGTGTTTTGCCACCAATATGATGATTTCACCACCTTCACTTTCTCCTCCTCTCCTTCAGGGTTAGTTTTTAGTTATAAGATGAAGACCCTGGGCTTTTCAATGCTATGTCATTAGATATCAATGTGCAGAGACTAGACTGGAAAATGCTGGTAGGGGTGGAGAAATCAGGCTTCCTGAGGGAGAGAAGAGCAGATATAAGAAGAGAAAAAGGGATGTAAGCATGGAGGGAGAGGAGGTCATTCTGGAGCTAGGTGGGGGTTGGCAAGGGAACTGCTCCTTGGTTCAGCTTGTGAGGTAGCACCTGTCTAATTAGCATGTAGAGGAGGCTACTGGGATTTCCCTTTTTGGAATCAAGCCTTCTCCAAGTCCACAGTTCAAGCGGGTGTAAGTCTGTTGACTGTAGTTGCCATGGAAAGGGTACTTTTTGCCCTTGCAGCTGATGTGAAGTTAGTCATATAAATAAACTAAATGCCCAACCTCTCTCCCTGCATTGCAATCACCTCACCTATTGTTCAGGTTACTGATTAAACCTCCCTTGACTTGGGAGCCCCCAGATAGCTGAGGGGCAGTCTCACTCAGCTCAAGTCCTGATGGAGCCCATCCCCCAGCAGTCAGCTTTTTCTGAATTTTGCTTTTGAAAAGTACTTAGTATAGGCTGCTCCCTCTCTGTATAATTTCTGGGCTCCTTGCTGGAGGCCTTGCCCACCATCCTACCTGCTCTACCTGCTTCCCAGAGGCAGAAATCTCTTGAATATTGTGTAAGAAGGATGATAGCTGCCTTTTATTTAATGCCAGTCTCTTTGCTTAGATTCCAATAGGGGCTTTACTTTTTTCATCTCCAGTTCACATGAGAACTGCGTGGTAAGGATTTCTATTTTATCTTCCACTTCATGGATGAAATAACCGAGTCTCAGAGAAATTAGGTAATTTGTCCTAAATCACGCAACAAAATCAGGCATTGGAACCCAGGTCTCTCTAGTCCCAAAGTCTGTGTTCTTCTCACAGTTCTGCTCTATGTTGGATGGGATGAAGACGTAGCATGATGGAATGAGATAGATCTTCTAGTCCTATGTTCTACGCTCTCATTTTATAGCTGGAGAAACTGAGGTCCCAAGAAGGGAAGGGACTCTGTGGGGTTAAACAGTAGCAGAACTAGGATGAACAGCAGGGTCCCTGTTATTGACTCAAAACCTTTGGCATTATGTGGCCCCTGACTTCTAAATCTTTCATTCCTTTAGTACAGAGTCAGTTAAAATTCAAGACCATGGGAAAAATTAAGATAGCCAGTTAAATAACCTTACAATATGAACAAGTTTCCATGAGTAGGATTTGAGAGGACTATGAGGAAAGAGCATCAACTGCACACTGGTGTATGAAGGATCTGAAGGAGGGACATTTAAGCAGAGGGCAGGGGCAGGGAAGGGTTGACCCGTAAGACTTTGTCTTTATAAGTTTGGCTGACTTCAGGTTCACCATGAGTCATAGAGCATGAAATCATTAAAATAATTATACTGATGGTGAATGTAACTCCTAGGAGCTCATATTAAGATAACACATGAGTTCAAAGTTCATTGACAAAAGAAAATAATTATAAGTTAACAAAGTAAGATAGGTATTTATTTACATTGCACACAAAGATTAATCAATCTTGTTGTGTGTATGTAGAGGCATGGTAATTTGTGATGGGCAAGAAGAGAAGAAGGGTGGGGCGCCTGGGTGGCTCAGTCGTTAAGCGTCTGCCTTTGGCTCAGGTCATGATCCCAGGGTCCTGGAATCGAGTCCCACATCGGGCTCCCTGCTCCACGGGAAGCCTGCTTCTCCTTCTCCCATTCCCCCTGCTTGCGTTCCTGCTCTCGCTGTCTCTCTCTCTCTGTCAAATAAATAAATTAAAAAAACACTTAAAAAAAAAATAAAGAAGAGAAGAAGGGTGGCCTTGTGAGATCCAAATCCACACAGGAAACAACTAGGGACCTGCCAGGAAGGCTTAGGGGAGGCTATAGGGATCCAGTGTGTGTGTAATTGATAGCAGAGAAAAAGCATTTCAGGTGCAGGGCCTAGATATAACCCAGGCCATAGAACAGCAGTGGTGTGGAATCTTGACTATGGCTACCATCTTGTGGCCAGGTTTTGGGCTCTGAGACCCAAATTTGATTATTCCTCCATGTACTTCTCTGAATTTTACTGGTTCCCTGCTGTCCCCTTCCTGGCACCCTGTCTTATCAAGTTCTGAGAAGAATTCTCCTCTGTAAAATTTCCCAGTATCATGTATCTTGTTTAAGTGTGCACAATCACTTGAGATAAGCCTCAGATTTTATGAATTACATGTGATGACCAAATGTCCCTGTTTCTATTTCCTGGGGCTATTAACATGACTGCGATAAACTTTTACAGCAACTCCACTGTCCATTTTGGATCCTTGAGTGAAAATAAGAGCTTTGACTTTTACTTAAGGTTTGAATACTCATTATCTGAGCCATTTACTTTCACAAATGAAAAGAGAAATTTGAGCAATGGGGCTCTCCATCTCAAATGTCATTGCCAGGCAGGATTTATTGGGTGCTCAGATATAACTCAGACCAGAATGGGCCACAAAGCACACATATAAAATCATAGGATCTCAAAGTGTCAGAGCTGAGACAAGTAATCTATGCAAGTCTCATGGTCAGAGACTCAGTTACTCTAAGAGGTTTCCCAGCTGAATCTGTAATTTTATTATTCCCATGAGTCTCATGGACGTTGTTCAGTCAAATTTTCAAAGTGATGGGAACAAAGCTTTTGAGCTGAATCCAACTGCCTGTTTTTGTAGATATAGTTTTTTTTTTTTTTTAAACATTTTATTTATTTGAGAGAGAGACAGAGAGAGTGAGTGCACAAGCGGCAGGGAGAGGCGGAGGGAGAAGGAGAAGCAGACTCCCCACTGAGCAGGGAG